AGGAGGAGGAGGGTGGGAGGGAGGAGGCAGCCACAGACAAACCAGAGAGGAGGGGAGGAGGGAGGGGAGGGAGAGGGAGGAGACAGCCCGGACCACCAGAGGGAGGAGGAGGAGGGAGGGAGGCAGCCACAGACCCCTGGGGTAGGAGGAGGAAGGAGGAGGGAGAGGAGGCAGCCACAGACCACCAGAGAGGGAGGGAGGAAGGCAGCCACAGACCACCAGGAGGAGGAGGAGGAGGGAGGAGGCAGCCACAGACCACCAGAGAGGAGGAGGAGGAAGGGGAAAAAGGCAGCCACAGACCACTGGGAGGAGGGAGGGAGGCAGCCACAGACCACAAGGGTAGGAGGAGGAGGAGGAGAAAGCAGCCACGACCACCTGTAGGTGGAGGGAGGTGGGGAAGGCAGCCACAGCCACCACCCATTGTAGGAGGAGGAGGAGGATGGGGGAGGAAGCAGCCACAACCACAGAGGAGGAGGAGGAGGAGGGGAGGGCAGGGAGCCACAAGGGAGGAGGAGGTGAAGGGGGAGGAGGGGCAGCCCTGGACCACCAGAGGTAGGAGGAGGAGGAGGGGGGGAGAGGAGGCAGCCACAGACCACCATTAGGAGGAGGAGGAGGGAGGATGGGAGAAGCAGCCACAGACCACGGGAGGAGGGGAGGGAGGAGGCGGGGAGGGAGGCACAGACCTGGAGGAGGAGGAGGAGGTGGGGGAGAGCGCTCCAGCCTACCAGAGGAGGAGGAGGAGGCGGGGGAGGAGGCAGGCACAGACCAGAGGGGAGGAGGAGGTGGGGAGGAGGCAGCCAGATAGGAGGAGGAGGAGGGGGAGGCAGCCTGAGACCAAAGAGAGGAGGAGGAGGAGGAGGGGGAGGAGGCAGCCACAGACCAAGAGGAGGAGGAGGAGGAGGAGGGAGGAGGCAGCCACAGACCAAGAGGAGGAGGAGGAGGAGGAGGGAGGAGGAGGCAGCCCAGAGCCTCAGGAGTAGGAGGAGGAGGAGGGTGGGAGGAGGCAGCCACAGACCACCAGAAGGGAGGAGGAGGGAGGAGGCAGCCACAGACCCCAGAAGGAGGAGGGAAGGAGAGGGGGGAGGCAGCCAGAGACCACCAAGGTAGGAGGAGAAGAGAGGAGAGGCAGCACAGGCCACCAGGAGGAGGAGAGGAGAGGGGAGGAGAGGCAGCCACAGACCACCAGAAGGAGGAGGGAGGAGGGAGAGGGAGGAGAGGCAGCCACAGAGACTAGGGTAGGGAGGAGGAGGGAGGAGGCAGCCAGATACCAGGGAGGAGGAGGAGGTAGGGGGAGGAGGCAGCCACAGACCACTAGGGTAGAGAGGAGGAGGGAGGGAGGAGGCAGCCACGACTGAGAGGAGGAAGGAGAGGGGGAGGAGGCATCCACAGACCACCGGGGGTAGGAGAGGAGGGAGGGAGAGGCAGCCACAAACCACCAGGAGGAGGAAGGCAGCCACAGACCTGTGTGGGAGGAGGAGGAGGTGAGAGGCAACCTAGACCACCAGAGGAGGAGGAGGAGGTGGGGGAGGAGGCAGCCATAGCCTACCAGGAGGAGGAGGAGGTGGGGGAGGAGGCAGCCCAGACCACCAGGAGTGAGGAGGCGGGGAGGAGGCAGGCCAGACCACTAGAGGAGGAGGAGGAGGAGTGGGGGACGAGGCAGCGCCAGCCCCAGGGAGGAGGAGGTGAGGGAGGCAGCCACAGACCACCAGGGTAGAAGGAGGAGGAGGGGGAAGAAGCAGCCATGGACCACCAGAGGAGGAGGAGGAGGGGTGAGGAGGCAGCAGACAGAGGAGGAGGAGGAGGGAGGCAGCCACAGACCACCAGAGGAGGAGGAGGTGGGGAAGGAGGCAGCCAGAACCACCAGGGAGGAGGAGCAGGGGAGGAGGCAGCCACAGACCACTGGGTAGAGGAGGAGGGGGAGGCAGCCACAGACCTGGAGGGAGGAGGAGAGCGGGGAAGGAGGGCCACAGACCCCAGAGGAGGGAGTGGGGTGTAGGAGGCAGCTACAGACCACCTGGGTAGGAGGAGGAGGAGGAGGAGGCATTCACAGACCACCAGAGGAGGAGGAGGAGGGGAGGGAGGCAGTCACAGACCACCAGAGGAGGGAGGTGGGAGGCAGCCACAGACCACCAGAGGGAGGAGGAGGGTGGGAGGCAGCCACAGACCACCCTGGGTAGGAGGAGGAGGAGGAGGCAGCCACAGACCCCAGAGGAGGAGGAGGAGGCGGGGAGGAGGCAGGCACAGACCACCAGGGTAGGAGGAGAGGAGGGAGGAGGCAGCCACAGAGCACCAGGGAAGAGGAGGAGGGTGGGGAGGAGGCAGCCACAGAACACCAGGAAGAGGAGGGAGGAGGCAGCCACAGACCACCAGGGAGTGGGAAGGGAGGAGGAGGGAGGGAGGCAGCCTGGACCACCAGGTGGGAGGAGGCGGGGAGGAGGCAGGCACAGACCACCAGGGAGGGAGGAGGTGGGGAGGGAGGCAGCCATAGCCCAGAGGAGGGAGGAGGGAGGGGGGGAGGCAACCACAAGACAAAGTGGGAGGAGGGCGGGGAGGAAGCCACAGACCCCAGTGTAGGAGGGGAGGAGGAGGGGGGGAAGAAGCAGCCACAGACCACCAGAGGAGGGAGGGGGGGGGAGGAGGCAGCCAGACCACCAGAAGGAGAAGGAGATGGGGAGAGGCAGCCACAGACCACAGGAGGAGGGAGGGAGGGAGGCAGCACGAGACCCCAGGAGGGGGAGGAAGGGGAGGAGAGCCAGCCCTAGAGCCACCAGGAGTAGGGAGGGAGGGAGGAGAGGAGAGGGCAGCCACAGACCACTAGGGTAGAGGAGTAGGGAGAGGGAGGAGGCAGCCACAGACCACCGAGGAGAGGACAAAGGAGGCAGCCACAGACCACCAGAGGGAGGAGGGTGTAGGAGGCAGCCACAGACCACCTGGGTAGGATGAGGAGGAGGGAGGAGGCAGCCACAGACCACCAGAGGGAGGAGAGGAGGAGGGGAGGGAGAGGCAGCCACAGACCACAGAGGAGGGAGGAAGGTGTAGGGAGGCAGCCCAGAACCCTGGGAGGAGAGGGAGGAGTGTAGGAGGCAGCCACAGACCACCTGGGAGGAGGAGGGAGAGGAGGCAAGGCACAGACCACCAAAGGTAGGGAGGGAGGAGGGGAAAGCCACGAGACCACCCAGGGTAGGAAGGAGGAGGGAGGAGGAGGGAGGGAGGCAGCCACAGACCACTAGGAGTGAAGGAGGAGGGAGGGAGGAGAGGCAGCCACAGACCACCAGGAAGGGAAGGAGGACAGGGAGGGAGCCACAGACCACCAGAGGAGGAGGAGGAGGGTGTGGGGAGGGGCAGCCACAGACCACCTGGGAGGAGGAGGAGGAGGGAGGGAGGCAGCCCCGGAGCCAGAAGGGAGGAGGGAGGGAGGGAGGAGGCAGTCACAGACCCAGAGAAGAGAGGGGTGGAAGGAGGCAGCCACAGACCACAGGAAGGGGAGGAGGAGGGTGTAGGAGGCAGCCACAGACCACCCTGGGTAGAAGGGAGGGAGGGAGGGGAGGGCAGCCACAGACCCACAAGAGGAGGAGGAGGAGGCAGGGGAGGAGGCAGGCAGAACCACCAGGGTAGGAGGGAGGAGGAGGGGGAGAGGCAGCCACAGACTACAGAGGAGGAGGAGGGAGGAGGCAGCCACAGACCCAGAGGAAGGAGGGAGGAGGCAGCCACAGAACACAGAAGGAAGAGGAGGAAGCGGCCACAGACCTGGGGAGGAGAGAAGAGGAGGGAGGCACAGCCACAGACCACCAGGGGTGGGAGGAGGAGAGGCAGCCGAACCCCCAGGGTAGAAGGAGGAGGCAGGCACAGACTACTCAGAGGAGGGAGGGAGGGAGGTGGGGAGGGAGGGAGGAGGCAGCCATAGCCCAGAGGGAGGGAGGGAGGAGGGGAGGGAGGCAGCAGCCCGGGCATACCAGGGTAGAAGGAGGGAGGAGAGAGGGGAGGGAGGCACACAGACCACCAGTGTAGGAGGAGGAGAAAAGCAGCCACAGACCACCAGAGGGAGGAGGAAGGAGGGAGGAGGCAGCCATGCCAGAGGAGGAGGATGGGGGAGGAGGCAGCCACAGACCACTCAGAGGGGAGGGAGGAGGGAGGGGGGAGGGGCAGCCACAGACCACCAGAGGAGGAGGGAGTGGGGGAGGAGGCAGCTACAGACCACCAGGGTAGGAGGAGGAGGAGGGGGAGGAGGCAGCCACAGACCACTAGGGGTAGAGAGGAGGGGAGGAGGCAGCCACAGACCACCAGAGGAGGAGGAGGACGGGGGAAAGGAGGCAGCCACAGACCACCAGAGGAGGAGGAGGGTGTAGGAGGCAGCCACAGACCACCTGGGTAGGATGAGAGGAGGGGAGGAGGCAGCCACAGACCACTGGGAGGAGGAGGAGGAGGGGGGAGGAGGCAGCCACAGACCACCAGGAGGAGGAGGAGGGGTGTAGGAGGCAGCCACAGACCACCAGAGGAGGAGGAGGAGGGTGAGGAGGCAGCCACAGACCACCTGGGTAGGGAGGGGAGGAGGAGGGAGGCAGGCACAGACCACCAGGGGTAGGAGGAGGAGGGGGGAGGAGGCAGCCACAGACCACCAGGAGGAGGAGGAGGGGAGGGAGAGGAGGAGCCACAGACCACCAGGGTAGGAGGGAAGAGGAGGAGGGGGGAGGAGGCAGCCACAGACCACCAGGTAGGAGGAGGAGGAGGAGGGGGGGGAGGAGGCAGCCACAGACCACCAGAGGAGGGAGGAGTAGGGGAGGAGGAGCCACACCACCAGGGTAGGAGGAAGAGGAGGGGGGAGGAGGCAGCCACAGAGACCACCAGAGGAGGAGGCGGGGAGGAGGCAGCCACAGACCAGGGTAGGGAGGAGGAGGAGGGGGGGGAGGAGGCAGCCACAGACCACCAGGGTAGGGAGAAGGAGCACAGTCCCCACAAGGTCTCCTGCAGCAGTACAATCCTCACAAGGTCTCCTGCAACAGCACAGTTCCCACGAGGTCTCCTGCAACAGCACAGTTCCCCACAAGGTCTCCTGCAGCAGCACAGTCCCCACGAGGTCTCCTGCAACAGCACAGTCTCACAAGGTCTCCGCAGCAGTACAATCCTCTCACAAGGTCTCCTGCAACAGCACAGTCCCCACAAGGTCTCCTGCAACAGCACAGTCCACACAAGGTCTCCTGCAACAGCACAGTCCACACAAGGTCTCCCCAGCAGCACAGTCCACAAGGTCTCCCAACAGCACAGTCCCCACAAGGACTCCTGCAACAACACAGTTCCCACAAGGTCTCCTGCAGCAGTACAATCCTCACAAGGTCTCCTGCAACAGCACAGTCCCCACAAGGTCTCCTGCAGCAGTACAATCCTCACAAGGTCTCCTGCAACAGCACAGCCCCACAAGGTCTCCTGCAACAGCACAGTCCACACAAGGTCTCCCAACAGCACAGTCCCCACAAGGTCTCTGCACAGCACAGTCCCCACAAGGTCTCCTGCAACAGCACAGTCCCCACAAGGTCTCCTGCAGCAGCACAGTCCACACAATGTCTCCTGCAGCAGCACAGTCCCCACAAGGTCTCCTGCAACAGCACAGACCCCACAACTCCTGCAACAGCACAGTCCCCACAAGGTCTCCCATCAACACAGTCCCTCACAGGGTCTCCTGCAACAGCACAGTCCCACAAGGTCTCCTGCATCAACACAGTCCCCACAAGGTCTCCTGCATCAACACAGTCCTCACAGGGTCTCCTGCAACAGCAAGTCCCCACAAGGTCTCTCCTGCAACAGCACAGTCCCCACAAGGTCTCCTGCAGAAGTCCCCACAAGGTCTCCTGCATCAACACAGTCCCCACAAGGTCTCCTGCAGCAGTACAGTCCCCACAAGGTCTCCCTGCAGCAGTACAGTCCCCACAAGGTCTCCTGCAGCAGTACAATCCCCTACAAAGTCTCCTACAACAGCACAGTCCCCACAAGGTCTCCTACAACAGCACAGTCCCCACAAGGTCTCCTGCAACAGCACAGTCCCTACAAAGTCTCCTGCAACAGCACAGTCCCCACAAGGTCCTGCAACAGCACAGTCCCCACAAGGTCCCTGCAGCAGCATAGTCCCCACAAGGTCTCCCTGCAGCAGCACAGTCCCCACAAGGTCTCCTACAGCAGCACAGTCCACACAAGGTCCCTGCAGCAGTACAGTCCCCACAAAGTCTCCTGCAGCAGCACAGTCCACACAAGGTCTCCCTACAGCAGCACAGTCCCCACAAGGTCTCCCACAGCAGCACAGTCCCCACAAGGTCTCCTGCAACAGCACAGTCCACACAAGGTCTCCTGCAGCAGCACAGTCCACACAAGGTCTCCCAGCAGCACAGTCCTCAAGGTCTCCTACAGCAGCACAGTCCTCACAAGTCCCTGCAGCAGCACAGTCCCCACAAGGTCTCTACAGCAGCACATCCCACAGGCCCTGCAAGCAGTCCCCAAGTCTCCTGCAGCAGCACAGTCCACACAAGGTCTCCCACAGCAGCACAGTCCACAAGGTCCCCTACAGCAGCACAGTCCACACAAGGTCTCCTGCAGCAGCACAGTCCCCACAAGGTCTCCTACAGCAGCACAGAGTCCACACAAGGTCTCCTGCAGCAGTACAGTCCCCAAAGTCTCCTGCAGCAGCACAGTCCACACAAGGTCTCCTACAGCAGCTCAGTGCTCACAAGGCCCCTGCAACAGCACAGTCCACACAAGGTCTCCAGCAGCACAGTCCACACAAGGTCTCCTGCAGCAGTACAGTCCCTACAAAGTCTCCTGCAACAGCACAGTCCACACAGGTCCCCTGCAGCAGCACAGTCCACACAAGGTCTCCTGCAGCAGCACAGTCCACACAGGGTCTCCTACAGCAGCACAGTCCACACAAGGTCTCCTGCAACAGCACAGCCCACAAGGTTCCTCCAGCAGCACAGTCCACACAAGGTCTCCTGCAACAGCACAGTCCACACAAGGTCCCCACAGCAGCACAGTCCCCCCAAGGTCTCCTGCAGCAGCACAGTCCCCACAAGGTCTCCTGCAACAGCACAGTCCACACAAGCTCCTGCAGCAGCACAGTCCACACACACAGTCTCCCTGCAGCACAGTCCACAAGGTCCCTACAGCAGCACAGTCCCCAAGGTCTCCTGCAGCAGCACAGTCCACAAGGTCTCCTGCAGCAGCACAGTCCACACAAGGTCTCCTACAGCAGCACAGTCCCCACAAGGTCTCCCTGCAGCAGCACAGTCCCCTACAGCTCCCACAGCAGCACAGTCCACACAGGTCCCTGCAGCAGCACAGTCCTCACAAGGTCTCCTGCAGCAGCACAGTCCACACAAGGTCTCCTACAACAGCACAGTCCACACAAGGTCTCCTGCAACAGCACAGCCCACACAAGGTCTCCTGCAACAGCACAGTCCACACAAGGTCTCCTACAACAGCACAGTCCACACAAGGTCTCCCCAGCAGCACAGTCCACACAAGGTCTCCCTACAGCACCACAGTCCCCACAAGGTCTCCTGCAGCAGCACAGTCCACACAAGGTCTCCCTACAGCAGCACAGTCCACACAAGGTCCCTACAGCAGCACAGTCCCCACAAGGTCTCCCTGCAGCAGCACAGTCCACACAGGTCTCCTGCAGCAGCACAGTCCACACAAGGTCCCCTACAGCACACAGTCCCAAGGTCTCCTGCAGCAGTACAGTCCCTACAAAGTCTCCCTACAGCAGCACAGTCCACACAAGGTCTCCTGCAGCAGCACAGTCCACACAAGGTCTCCTGCAGCAGTACAGTCCCCACAAAGTCCAACAGCACAGTCCCCACAAGGTCTCCCTGCAGCACAGTCCCCACAAGGTCTCCCCAGCAGCACAGTCCCCACAAGTCTCCCTGCAGCAGTACAGTCCCTACAAAGTCTCCTGCAACAGCACAGTCCCCACACAGCAGCACAGTCCACACAAGGTCTCCCCTACAGCAGCACAGTCCCCACAAGGTCCCCTGCAGCAGCACAGTCCACACAAGGTCTCCCACAGCAGCACAGTCCCCACAAGGTCTCCTGCAGCAGCACAGTCCACAAGGTCTCCTGCAGCAGCACAGTCCACACAAGGTCTCCCCAGCAGCACAGTCCACACAAGGTCTCCTGCAGCAGCACAGTCCACACAAGGTCTCCCCACAGCAGCACAGTCCTCACAAGGTGTCCCACAGGCTCAGTGCTCACAAGGTCTCCTGCAACAGCACAGTCCACACAAGGTCTCCTGCAGCAGCACAGTCCCCACAAGGTCTCCCCCAGCAGCCAGTCCACACAAGGTCTCCCTGCAGCAGCACAGTCAACACAGGTCTCCTGCAACAGCACAGTCCACACAAGGTCTCCTACAGCAGCACAGTCCACAAGGTCTCCTGCAACAGCACAGTCCACACAAGGTCTCCCTAAGCAGCACAGTCCACACAAGGTCTCCTGCAGCAGCTCAGTCCACACAAGGTCTCCTGCAGCAGCACAGTCCACACACAAGGTCTCCCTACAGCAGCACAGTCCCCAAGGTCTCCCACAGCAGCTCAGTGCTCACAAGGTCTCCTGCGCAGCACAGTCCACAAGGTCTCCTGCAGCAGCACAGTGTCCTCACAAGGTCTCCCCAGCAGCACAGTCCACAAGGTCCCTACAGCAGCACAGTCCCCACAAGATCTCCCTGCAGCAGCACAGTCCACAAAAGTCTCCTGCAGCAGCACAGTCCACACAAGGTCCCCACAGCAGCACAGTCCACACGTCCCTGCAGCAGCACAGTCCACACAAGATCTCCCACAGCAGCACAGTCCACACAAGGTCTCCACAGCAGCACAGTCCACACAAGGTCTCCTGCAGCAGCACAGTCCACACAAGGTCTCCCTACAGCAGCACAGTCCACACAAGGTCTCCTGCAGCAGCACAGTCCACACAGGTCTCCCACAGCACAGTCCACACAAGGTCTCCCTACAGCAGCACAGTCCCCACAAGGTCTCCTGCAGCAGCACAGTCCCCACAAGGTCTCCTGCAGCAGCACAAACCTCAAGGTCTCCTGCAGCAGCACAGTCCACACAAGGCTCCTGCAACAGCACAGTCCACACAGGTCTCCCAACAGCACAGTCCACAAGGTCTCCTGCAACAGCACAGTCCACACAAGGTCTCCTACAGCAGCACAGTCCCCACAAGGTCTCCTGTAACAGCACAGTCCACACAAGGTCTCCTGCAACAGCACAGTCCCCACAAGGTCTCCCTGCAGCAGCACAGTCCCCACAAGGTCTCCTGCAACAGCACAGTCCACACAAGGTCTCCTACAGCAGCACAGTCCACAAGGTCTCCTACAGCAGCACAGTCCACACAAGGTCTCCTGCACACAGTCTCACAAGGTCCCCTGCAGCACAGTTCACAAGGTCTCCTGCAACAGCACAGTCCACACAAGGTCTCCTGCAACAGCACAGTCCACACAAGGTCTCCTGCAACAGCAAGTCCACACAAGGTCTCCTGCAACAGCACAGTCCACACAAGGTCTCCTGCAACAGCACAGTCCACACAAGGTCTCCTACAGCAGCACAGTCCCCACAAGGTCTCCTGCAACAGCACAGTCCACACAAGGTCTCCTGCAACAGCACAGTCCCCACAAGGTCTCCTGCAACAGCACAGTCCACAAGGTCTCCTGCAGCAGCACAGTCCACACAAGGTCTCCTGCAGCAGCACAGTCCCCACAAGGTCTCCTGCAACAGCACAGTCCACACAAGGTCTCCTGCAACAGCACAGTCCTCACAAGGGCTCCTACAACAGGACAGTCCTCACAAGGTCTCCTGCAGCAGACATTTCCCTTCATGGAGATGATTCGGTATAAATATTGATTGTCTGAAGTGAATCACAACAATTTGCGTGGCGTACAACTTCTGTACAGGTAAAATTCCTCTTCAAGAAAAGAAGTGTTGATTCAGCTACAATGTCTCTATTAAGAAGAGACTGTTCCATTACAGCACGTCACGTTGCCACAAATGCGACACACTACATGAGGTTTGGTGCATTTTTAAGTAATGGCTGAGCTTTGTGAGGCATTTACATTTGCAGGAGGCCGATTACCTTTCACGGAAGCAGAGCATTTCCATGAACTCCACCTGCTAAACTGTTTACCCACGACGAGAATAGAGGGTGGCACTATTCACCTCACATGTTTAGGAACAAACTTTTAATTTTCTTTGTGTGGATCACGTTATCTTTCATGTCGATCCACACTTACATACTTAACTAAAATATGTACGAGTAGATAGAGTGGAATTTATTCATTGTAGATTGTGTTCACTAACTAAGGCAGGCCATTGAAGAGACTAACCTCGTTTACAGTTGTATGGGGAAACTATAAACAATTTATTGTGTTTTGTTAAGCATGAATGGTGTTTACAGCTGAACAAATATGTATTGTAAATTTCTATAAATAAACCCACGATTATTCTATTCTCTGGGCTGTACCACTTTACTCAGTGTACGGAGCCTTATTTTGACAGTGCTTCAAGAGACGTATCAAAACTAATGCGGCAAATAAGGCATCATACACACACCTCTATTTAGTGAAGTACCTTAAGCATTTGAGAACCAGAAAGGACTTATTATTCTTTAAGGTCCTAAACATTATAAAGTTATGAAGATTCCACTCCTTACATAACCTAACCGTACCTATCCTAACATCAAAGGTAGTCTCAGGTAACCTACAATGCTGTTAATTACGAGGGAGTCTCCGCGCTGACCTAAATTCACTTTATCTCTGTTGAAAGATTAGTGTTTAAGTCTTATATATTATTTCTCACACGACAGAGAGATAATAACATAGGAATATATATCAAGTTGGTGACTGTAATTCGGTGTAATGAAGGTTAAGTGTGTTTGGATGGTGATGTTATTAACTTTATATCGTGTGTGCTTGTGTATGTACGGCGTGTCTGTGTGTGTATGTGCCTGTGTGTGGTCTTGAGGAAGTGGAAAACTTACACTAACAATACAAACTTATGTGTCATGTACATTGTACAGTGCATACTAAGAGTAGTAAGATGCTCTCTCTCTCTCTCTCTCTCTCTCTCTCTCATCAGCTACGCCATCATTATCACCGAGGACAATTCTCCTCATGCCCAGCTGTCTGGTGTCTCGTGTCTACTTTGACTGATTTATCATACAATTTTCTGAAGGATACATACATCACCTGTACTTCATCATACATACAGGTGTCAGGTGGAGACACAACCTCTACCACTACTACCAACACCATAGTAACCACCACCACCATCACTACTACTACCACCACTACCACCACCGCTACCGTCCACTCCCAAATATCGTTTTCTACGCTAGGTGATCGATATCTCATTATTAATTATCCAATTTACGCCCCCCCCCTTCAGTAATGTAATTGTCGGGCCGGCGTGGCGGGGAAGACACTGATATATGACTTAGACGAATCTTGACAAATATGGGTTACTTCGCAAATTTCCAATGCTATTTTTTACGCCATCGGGTTAAGTGGCAATTTTACGTTGGAATGAAGATCGATTTATGGGTCGAGGCTGTTGGCTGTCGTATGCTGGAATGATGCTCAGGTCAGCTTGTGTTAGATGCCACTGTTTACTCGGTGACGTGGGTGTTTATTAAGGCAAACTAAAAGAAAAATGAATATAAAAAAACCAAGAGAACGTTGATATATTATCATTTACCGAGAAAATAATAACATGTGTGGCCTCTAACAGATGAAGTTAATGTATCCAAACTTCTTTTACAAATTTGAATAATCACATGAGGTGTTTTTTGTAGGAATTTCCAGCTATATTTATTTTTTTTACTTGTATTGAAAAGCATAAACCCAAATCTAGCTCCAAGGTTTAACTGGTATACTGGAAAGCCTTAAAATAATCATCGTTAATGGAAATATTTTCTACGAGTGTGATTTACCAAATTACTGTAAAACATTAATTGTCATCTTTATTCATACACGTCTATATGGAATCTTCCAATATAAACTGTGTGTGTGTGTGTGTGTGTGTGTGTGTGTGTGTGTGTGTGTGTGTGAGTCTGTATACACGAGAGAGAGAAAACACATCAGATTACCTCAGTTCAGGGCAGAGTATGTGGCCCCGTCCTGACTCACCCACAAGTCTGACAACATACACTACAGCTTAACGGTAACTACTCTGTACATAGATCTCACCTCCCTGTTATCCACCCAATAGTAAAACAAAGACTTAATATTCACCTTAGGAACCAAATATTGACCATAAGAACCACTGACGTCACAAAAAACCATAATTACAAAGTCATAATCTAATTAACAGAATGAGATAATCCGATGCCACCGCAAGATAGGTAACTAATGATAGGAGAAAACTCGAACAAAAGAATTCTAAGGTAATATTTTGGGTTTGTCTGGCCCGGGGAGGCTGACAGTAGGCCTACATGACCCCTACATCCCATCCCCTCTCCTCCTACCTTTCCAGGATACATTAATAACAGTAGATGGTAGGCCTGCACTCGGTGGGCTCTGAACCTGAAAATTGGTAATAGGCCAGTGCAGGCTTTAAATTGGCGGCATGTACGTAGAGTATCTTGATTTATTGGGATTATAATTATGTTGTGATTGCCTTGGACTAAAAACCATATTTCTCTTAATTTACCGTGACCAGAATCCAAGGCATAATGGAAGCACCTATTACGACCATCACTTATGTATATATTTTTTTTGTGTTCTTGGCGTTACTTCTGATCCTAAGTGGAGGTTTTATGGCTCAGGCGTATTATTGTGATTTATTGACGCATTCTTGATTTACTTCTATGCGTTTACGTTTGAGTCTGACCGGGTGATGGAGTCGAGATCACAGCGTGAACCGCTGCATTCTGTAAAGTCTCTGTTTATATTATAAGGTAAAGCCATCAATATGCTTTCATATACTCGCCTACTTATTGATATACATACATATATATATATATATATATATATATATATATATATATATATATATATATATATATATATATATATATATATATATATATATATATATATATATATATATATATATATATATATATATACTTTACATCCTCATATCAGCATATACTTAATGTGTTCACGTACACGCGACACACACACACATACCTGCTTGCACGCAGATTGTACATATACACGCACATATACACACACACTTGCAAGGTCATGGCAGATATATCATTAATAGTAAATCGACAGCCAGCCCCTGACAGCTAGATACCTACGAGGCATCTCTACCCGACAGTCAGCAATCCGACAGGCATCTACCCGACAGCTAGATACCCAAGAGGCACTTTTTACCCAACAGTCAACCTACCACAGATACAACTACTCACCTGCACGTCTGCTACATCACTTACCTGTACTCATTACTACAACACATCAGTCAAGTAATTTTTTTTTTGTCCAAACATGATTAAAAACTAACACACACAACCGTGAACATAACAATGAATACTTACACGAGTATGTATTCAGAGTAATTAGTACATTATAAGGTATTATTTTTATGCCTAGTAATTAGACCCAGATAATGAGGCTACTTAATTAGGTGTACAATAAGACCAGGAGCTGTGATTGGTTTGCTTGGTGGTGTTTTATTCTTCGTAGTTTAATTCTATCTTTGCTTTCTTGTTTTTTATTTTATTTTACTGAATGTAATAAAGTGGTTTATAATACTGTACTCCAGTCCTCTAAACAAACGCCCCGTGAATTGTCTTGTAGTCGCTTGTTATACCGTTTGTTTATAATGGACGAGTAACCTTGTAGAAGAAATCTGGACGTATTATTATTATTATTATTATTATTATTATTATTATTATTATTATTATTATTATTATTATTATTATTATTATTATTATTATTATTATCGTGTACTATTTCCATTAACACTCTATACCACCAGGACCTATACGCTAATTAATCCCTGACCTTGTGTCGTGTCCCCCGGTAGGTAGGAGGTAGCTCAGAGCCCACCAAATTAATATTACTTTACGATGGCTGCCAGTGTTAGGGAGGGCGGCGTCCTCCTCCCTGGCTGGACGCCCCTCAAACACACCAGGAGGAGGAGGAGGAGGAGGTGAGGGAGGCAGGACAGAGGTCAACTTGGCGTGGCATAAGGTAACGGAGCTGTGAAAATTGTATCGAGTGAACGCGATGGGTTTTCTACCTGCTGGGTGAATCAGTTGCGGTGTTTTTCTGTGTGTGTGTGTGTGTGTGTGTGTGTGTGTGTGTGTGTGTGTGTGTGTGTGTGTGTGTGTGTGTGTGTGTGTGTGTGTGTGTGTGTGTGAGAGGGAAGTCATTTTTCCATATATAATTTTCCTCCATTACCTCCCTCCGTGACAGCACCACCCCCCCTCCCACCTCTCTCCTCTCCCCCAAATCACCTCTTCCTCTCTTTCTACCTCCGTGACATATCCTCTTCTATCGTTATTATTTTCTCTCTCCTCTTTATCTCATTTCCTTATCTCCTTCCTCCAATCCTCTCCAGCTGAGGTTCATACAACATCGTGTTTACGGAAGTTTCTCCATTCTCCTCCACACACTTACACCTCAGATGCTGCTAAGTGTTACACCTATCGAAAGTGTCTCGTTATATCTCTCGTTATAATCTTCGCCAGCAGCTCTATGTCTGTTTAATATCGTTGTTGTTATCCCAAATCCTTGAGCTGTTCCCTCGTCTCGCGTCTTCTCTCCTCAGTGGTCAAGGTTCCCACGTATTACTCTCACGACCTGTCTAAGGAATTATGAATCTCCCAACCCAACCCAACCCAACCCAAACCAAACCAAACCTAACCTAACCTAACCTAACCTAACCT